ACTAACTCATAAACGTGATCTGCACACAGCTACTAACTCTAAACTTGGTCAGCACACAGCTACCAGCTCATAAACGTAATCTGCACACAGCTACTTACGTTAAACTTGATCTGCACACAGCTACTAACTCTAAACTTGATCAGCATACAGCTACTCACTCTAAACTTGACTAGCACACAGCTACTAACTCGAAACTTGATCTGCACATAGGTACTAACTCTAAACTTGATCTGCACACAGCCTCTGCCTCTGAACATTCACAACGCTAGAGGAAACTCTTGTGTAGCACAAGTTGTGGTATCTGCAAACTGTACCTGTGTAATTGTTTCCTGTCGTTCTCAGTGTGCTCGGTTTGGCACTCAGTTAGTGTTGGGGTTGGTTAGCTCATTTGGTTGGACAGCTAGTTTATAATGTAGAGAGACACCTACAGTAATGGATCAATTCCCATGCCAGCTGAGGTTACTGTGAAGGACTTTCTTCCTCCCACCTTTCTTGAATGAGAGAGCAGCCTTGTGGTCTGGTGTGTTTAGTTGGTGGGAACTGGGATGATCAACTGCCCCTTCACATTTTACACCAGTGTTCAAGCAGGACTTTCAACATGATGCTGCTATTTTCCCAATCGAGTTTTACAATACAAAGACCAGTTTGAATGATACCTGGACTTGCAAGCGGGAGTTTCATGGAGAGACATAATTAGGGTTAATGGAAGTTAAAGGACAATTTGATCAGTTTTCAAAAAATAAAGGGGAACTTATAGGTTTTCATTCACAGGATGACTAGTTTAGCATTTATTGCCCATCCCTGATCGCCTGGAGGGCAGTTAAGAATCAATCACATTGCTCTGGGTCTGCAGTCACATGTAGGCCTGACTGGGTAAGGACAGCAGTTTCCTTTGCTAAAGGACATTAGTAAACCAGAAACAAAAATAAAGTGGCTGGAGAAGCTCAGCAGGTCTGGCAGCATCTGTGAAGGTAAAAACAGAGTTAACGTTTCGGGTCCGGTGACCCTTCCTCAGAACGGAATAAGTAAACCAGATTTTTTTTTCCCAAAAATCAACAATGGTTTCATGGTGATCATTAGACTCTTAATTCCAGGTTGTTATTCAATTCAAATCCACACAATCTGCTGTGAACCCAGGTTCCCAAAATATTACTTTGGCCCCATGAATTAATAGTCCAGTGATAATACCACTGATCAATTGCCACTCCTTTGACACATAGGGATAAACTATTTCTGCTGCCTAAGAAATGTAGGATGGGTTCAATAGTCTGAATTGTAAGGTCAAATCTTCCATTTCATACCCATGAGTGAGAGTGGAGGCAGAATGCTACGAACAGAGGGAGGAACCGTGGCAGGGGTGCCTTCCCAACACATTTCCACTGCTGGCGAGGTTAGTCAGGGTTCCCTGTGAAGTGGATTAATGCCTGTTCAGTAGAGGCAGGCTGTCAATTTAAAGTAGTTCAGACCCCAAGTAGTGATGATGCTGTGACTGTTTGTTGTGCACAATGGTTTGGTTGTATCATGCTTGGATACGTGTGTCCAATAACTGCTCTCTGCATGGTATGCTCTATTGTGTAAGCCTGGATGTTGACTTAGAGAGAAGTAAACAAAATGCAGGAGTTACCTAGAAGAGCTGGGAGCTAAAAAGAAGACACATGGAATATTTATTTTGCAACTCAATCAATAAAGTTTGAACACATTTAAAAGCTAATATTATCTCCGTATAGCTCTGAAGCTAATCAAACATATAAAATATACAACCGCTGTGTTGGGAGATCACCAGCTCCATGGAGAACTGAAAGCTCCAATCCTTGAGGCGGAAACATTTAGCATCAAATGCTGGTCCCTCTAACACGCCGCATCTCGCTTTTGATACAAGGGGCTTGCTGCCTTCCCCTTGTGGAAATATTTAATTAGTTTTACATCCCAATGGCACCTCCTGTTCTTTCACCTGTCTCATTGGCACCCACCTCCTCCAGTGGGGCTGCCAAGACCTTAGAGCTGCCAACCTTCTGATTGCTACTGCCAGAGACATCAGGAATGCAACCATTGTCCTTAGTCAGATGGCGAGTCTAGAGGTGGACAATTGCCGATCTGACGTCCATTCTCCAGACAGAGATTGTGCCACATTTCGAACTGTTCCAGATTTTGGGTTACCCACTGGTTCCACACTCCAGGATCAGCTCAAGAATGGTTTGCTCTTACCTCACATTTACTCTGTCTTCCCTGAAGTGGGCACCCAGATCTCTTGAGAGAACAATGCCTGGCAATTCCAGACAGCTGGAATTTGGTAATGGACCATTTGTGTGAGCCTGTTGCCTCTGGGAAGATAACTTCAGTTAGCTGGTGTTCACGAGTTTGTTTCCATTATCTGGGCCCTGAACTTCAAGAGAAAAGAAACCCTCAGAGACAATTCTTTCAGAAACACTTCAAAATGCGAGGAGTGGTATAAAATTGGAACTGTCATTTGCAAATGTTAATTGATACTAGATCAATAATTAATTCCAAGACTGGTAATTTTTTGTTGATCAAAGGTATTAAATGATAGGTGGGAAAGCAGTTAGTTCACAGATCAGTCATTGACTGGTAAAACAGACTTTGAGGGGCTGAATGGCCTTATCCTTTTGCTACAGTTCTGGGAATGGTGATTTTTTTTAAATAGCAGACTCCAAGATTGACAGAAAGATTGATAAGAGAAAAATAAATTGAATTTGGGAGTACAGATAATTGATAAACAAAATTACTGAAACAGTCACAGTTGATTCAATGGACAACCTATGAATTGTCTTTCATCAACTGAACATTATTGCTGAACTGTTTCATTTTCTCAATATGAAAATGATTATGTTTTGAAGAGAAAGGACAGGGTGACCAATTCTCTATGCATTTAATAGAATATTTCTCGCTCTCTTTTTATTCTGGTCGCTTACTCATCCCCGATTTCTGTCTCTGTGCCATTGGCTGCCATGCAAATTCGTCCCCAGTGGCATTGTGAGTGTGCCTGCGCCAAATGGACCATAGCGTGCAAAAAGGCAACTCACCACCACCTTCTCAAGGGCAACTAGGAGTTGACAATAAATGCTGGCCCTTTCAGCGATGCCCACATCCCACGAATGAATAAAAGGAAACTATATGCCCAAGATCCGAAACGTCCTCCCACACCTGTTTGCTGCTTAAACCCTTTGATGCTCCTTTGAATCTTATCTTTTTGGTCAAGCTTTCAGTGATGTACCCGATATCTCCTGATATAACTTAATGTCAATTTTGTTTGATAGCATTCTTGTGCAAATCTCAGTACTGTTTGATTCTGAAATATGCAAGCTGTTGGTTTTCAATTGAAGGGAACATCAGAAATGAGCTGCCTTATTCATCACTTCTTTTCTCTGTGTTTTTGTAGCGTGTGATCTGATGAACCAAGGCATTTTGGCCCTCGTCAGCTCCGTTGGTTGCATGTCAGCTGGATCTCTCCAATCCTTGTCAGATGCTATGCACATCCCACACCTCTATATACAACGAACAACATCTGGATCGCCAAGGAGTGGCTGTGGTCTCACCAGAACCAGCAGGAATGAAAACTACACTCTCTATGTCCGTCCACCAGTGTATCTGAATGAAGTCATTCTCCAAGTCATCTCAGAATTTGCCTGGCAAAAGTTCATCATTTTCTACGACAGTGAATATGGTAAGTAGTTGCATGTACTGTAAAACTGATGAAGGGTCCTGAACCGAAACATCAACTTTCCTGCTCCTCTGATGCTACCTGACCTGCTGTGTTCCTCCAGCTCCACACTGTATTGACTCTGACTCCAGCATCTGCAGTTCTTGTATCTCTGTAAAATAATATAGTTTGACTTCACTTTAATTATTATGGAGAATTGGACATTTGATTATTCCGGTTTAACAGAGCAGGAGGACCAGAGGATGTAAGTATGAACTGTCTAAGAGTAGGAATAGACTGGAAATTGGGCAGTTCTAGATTTTATTTGTTCATGGGATTTGAACATCACTGAATATGTTGCTTTTAATTCCATTCCTTCCATTATTAATTATGCTTAAGCAGTGCTTGAGGTGTAGGGATAGCACAGTGTTGTTAGGGACGGAGTTTGAGGATATTCACTAGGGGACAATGAAGGAATAGTGATATGTATTTGTGGTGCTGTGTGATTCAGGTGGAATTGAAGGTCATGATTTTCCCATGCATCTGCTTCCCTTGTTTTCTAAGTTCTAGATGGGTCTTAGGTTTAGAAGATGCTGTCAAAGGATGTTTGGTGAGTTCTTACAATACATTGTGCAGATGGTACACACTTTCCTCCATGGATGCGGAGGGGGTGAGCAATGTAAGGTGGAGTTTCGGCTGTTGATCAAATGGATGAACCTGTTGTGGAATATGTCAAGTATCTTGAATGTGGTGGGAACTGCAATCATAAAGGTAAGTGGAGGGTATAGTCCATGATACTTCTAACTTTTGCCTCGTAAATGGTGGCCAGGCATTGAGTAGAAGGAGATAAATTACTCAATATAGAACTTCAAGTCTCTGAGTCACAGCATTTAAATTGTCTCTCCATTAACTTCCTGGTCTATAGTAACCAAAGAATGATTGTGATAGAAAGATTGAATGATTGCAAAGTCATTGAATGTCTTGTGGAGATGGTACCCAGCATTTGTGTGATGTGAATGTTATTTGATACTTATTAGTCCAAGTCTCTATCTTTGTAGGATCTTTCCTGCTCATGGTCATGGCCTGAGGTGTTGTGAATGGTCTTGAACATTGTCAGAAGTCACATGACACCAAGTCCAACAGATTTATTTGAAATCACAAGAGGCGAGGCCACATTGGATTTGGTACTGGGTAATGAACCAGGCCAGGTGTTAGATTTGGAGGTAGGTGAGCACTTTGGTGATAGTGACCACAATTTGGTTATGTTTACTTTAGCGATGGAAAGGGATAGGTATATACCGCAGGGCAATAGTTATAGCTGGGGGAAAGGCAATTATGAGGCGATTAGACAAGATTTAGGATGCATAGGATGGAGAAGGAAACTGCAGGGGCTGGGCACAATTGAAATATGGACCTTGTTCAAGGAACAGCTACTGCGTGTCCTTGAGAAGTATGTACCTGTCAGGCAGGGAGGAAGTGGTCGAGCGAGGGAACCGTGGTTTACTAAAGAAGTTGAATCTCTTGTCAAGAGGAAGAAGGAGGCTTATGTAAAGATGAGGCGTGAAGGCTCAGTTAGGGCGCTTGAGAGTTACAAGTTAGCCAGGAAAGACCTAAAGAGAGAGCTAAGAAGAGCCAGGAGGAGACATGAAAAGTC